CAGTATAGAAAAGAATGTAAAGAAGCTACAAAACTAGTAAGGTAGCAACAGCGAGAATCCAGGAACAGTATTATCTGCCTAGCATGGTTTGTCTTGGTAACTGCAGCTTCGCATTTTTTCTTTAATACAACTTTTTTTTTTTTTTTTTACTGTTTATGGTTAAAACAATAAGTCTAGAATAGGCAAGCATACAAGAAACATCAGTCTCAGAGAAATGTGCAGATGGAATGAAACGTAAAATTAATCAGAGAAAAACTTTGACTAAACCTGGACGGACGTTAGCTGCACTAGCCAGGCAGTGGTTGCCATAACACTTAGTTTCTCTACAGCAGTGGTTCTCAACTTTCCTTATTCCACGACCCTTTAAAACAGTTCCCCTTTATATGGCGACCCCCAAACATAATATTATTTTTGTTGCTACTTCAAAACTTCAGTAGTGATGTGTTTTTCGATTGTCCTAGGTGACCCTTGTAAAAGGGCCGCAACTCACAGGTTGAGACCCGCTTCTCTAAAGCTTGTAACTTGCTTCATGTGTGATTCATTGGTATTATTTGTTCAAAATGGAATATATTTGACTGAGTTATGAGTTAGGAGTTGTGTTATCTTCACAGCACTCCGGACACATCCATAGGTGCTCAGATTCCACCCTCAATATATTAACCAGTGTTGCGCTGTTAATAGTACCATTTATATTCTGGTAGACAAAACTTCGTGTGCGTCCGGTGTGTTTCTCATGTTTGGCTGTGCCGACCTTTATTCCCAAATCTTGTATTCATGGCGGTGATAAATGATTGATATGAATAGAGATTTGTGTTTTAATAATTACACTAATGCATTTAATAAAGTTAAACAAAGAAATTATTAGAATTTTTGCAACTTTAAACATTGATGGTAAAGATCTGAGAATAATACAAAACACATAAACTGCAATGAGTCGCCGTGGCGGAGCGGCTAGATGCTCGCCGGGGATAGAAATGTCGTCAGACCCGGACTTTTTTTCAAAAATGACCTTGGCTCCCAGGTCAACCCAGCCTTGAGTGTGTACCCGGTGCAGTCCCGGGCTGTAAAGGGGGCCAGTGTGATGCTCACCGTTTTTTTTTTTTTAATATATTTTTATACTGGCAACAAGAATCAGCGATAATGATTGACAATCAAGTTGGAATTTTTCAAAACATAAAAAGGCGTTATACAGGGATGTGTAACATCACACTATTTATTAAGTTTGAAAAGTGAAAAAATAATTAGATCCATACATGGTAAGCCAGGAATAGCGACTGGTGGGTATATTGTTGAAAACCTACGATATGCTGACGATATAGTTTTGATCGCTGAAAATAAAACACAACTGCAAGAAATGATGGATAAAATTGTAACGAAAAATGAAAACAAGGGTCTTAATTTGAACAGCAGATAAACAGAAGTAACGGTAATTACAAGGAAAACGGACCTTCCAAAATGTAACATCAAAGTAAATGGGACAAACCTCAAGCAAGTTGATATGTTAAAGTACTTGGGTACCCTGATAACATCTGATGGAAGATGTATTTGGAAAGTTAAATATTGAATAGCTCAAGCAAAGGCAGTATTTTACAAAATTAATATTTTATGCAACCTTTCTTTGTCAGAGACAAGAAAGAGAATTCTTAACAGTATGTAAATCTTATATTGATGTATAGATGTTAATCATGGACAGTTAGTAAATAAGGGAAACCCTATTTGGAGGCGGCGAAGAATCTGTTTTATAGACGAATGATAAGAATACCCTGGACAGATAAAAAGATTAAGTAAGACGTCTTGAAAGAAACTGACTCACAGAGAGAATTGATTGCCTACTTCAGAAAGAGACAATCAACATTCTTTTGTCATGTGATGAGGAGAAAACGGGAGTACATCGTGACGATCGGAAAGTTGGAGAGGAGGAGAGGCAGAGGAAGACCAAGAGAACGGATGCTGGACAGTTTGACATCAAGGCATGGAAGATCATTTGTGTCAAAATTATTGAAAGTACACGAGACAGAAGGTTGTGGGTGGACATGACTACCAACGCCATACGGCATAGACTCTAAGACAAAGAAAATGTGGACACGTTGCTTCCAAAATCCTCGGAACGTCCTATCTCCCTAAGGGCACTGACAATGTCTGCGTGATTCATGAGCCGGCCATCTGTAATTAATGTGGAACCTACCAGTCTATCAGCTCTTTCATTGCCAACAACACCTGCATTCCCTAAAGGACATCATCATCATCATCATCAGGTGCCTTGCCGAGTGGCGTGGGCGATCATGCCTCTCCATAATCCGCAATCTCCTGCAGCATGTATCAGTTCGTGTGCCGACACACCTCCATGCCATGCAACAAGACTGTCAAGCATCTTCTCTCGTTGTCTTCCTCTATCCCTCCTCCACAGATCTTTCCAGTGGTCACAACATGTTCTATTTTCCCTCTTCTCATAACATGGCCGAAAAATGATGACTGTCTCCTTCTGATGTCAGTGATAAGTTGTCTTCTGTCTCCCGCCTCTTTTAAAACCTCTTGGTTGCTCTTTTTGGCTGTCCAAGGTATTCTAAGCATTCTTCTGTAAAACCACATCTCTGAGGCCTCCAAAAATTGTGTCAGAATTATTGAAAGTACACGAGACAGAAGGACATAGTAACACAAAATGCTTTGCTTGCAGCACTCAGGTAAAAAGTCTGTCACTTATATTGTGCTGGTAGGCACCGACACGCTTAACTATCCTTAATTTATTGACGCCGCCGGCATGAATACATCTCAACCAGAAGATTATTGACATTGGCATGGTATATGGAAAATGTTAGGGACTCATTTTTTTAGGTTTTTTTCTATGGTGTGCCTGTATTTCATATATGGTGTCTAGAGTACACGCAAAAAATTAGACATAATATTTAAGCATGTGACAAGGAAATCATACATCTCTGAAGGTAACGCTAACTTAATGTTTTCTTTTTTTTTTTTTTTTCTTGTTTATCTATTCTGGCAATTTCAATTTTAGGTGGTAAACTGTTGAATGACACGCTAGACGTTGCAAGGCCCTTGGAGGAGGGGGGAGTAAACAGTGCGCAGGCACAGAGGGATCATCAAGGTCTGAGGTGAATGGTCCTGATAGAAGTGACCAGAAGATCAACCAACGATCAACTCCTAAAGGAAAGGTGAGATGACGGGATTGGAAAAGCGAGCCACCTTTTCCGGGACGCGAACTGCCTCTCTGCTTGTAAATTATATTATAGACTAATGCGTATGCTGTAACTGTGTTGGTTTCTGTCATAGAGCTGCCAATGACCTATTTGCCGTGACGGGAGTAGGTAGGTTCTTGACAATACATAAATTATACTGTTACTGGTAGCAATTAATCAATACATCTATTCCAAATGTGTTTCATACTAGAGACAAAAACATACATCAGTTTATCGCATAGTTTCTAACGGGTATTTCACATATGGGTATTGTCCTATATTTGTATACGAAAAACAAATTCTCCTTGTTGGTGATACACTGAATACGATAACGGTTAACCAAGCTGTTGCTGTTGTCTTACATGCATGGAGCATTTCTATTGTAATGCCATATATTCCCGCTGCCTTGTTTTTTTTTTTTTTTTTTTACTTTGTTTAAGAGCATTTTCAACTTCAGATTTCAGTGTCTTTGGTTCATGGACTTGGGCAAATTAAATTTGATTTGGTACTTCATCTGGTGTTCCACAAGTTAGTTGCTCAATGAAACATTCCTACCATGTGTCTTCTAATCCATCTAATGTCTTGACATTAGTGAATAGTTTCTTGCTCTTGCTCAAGAGTGGAGGGGATAAACTTTTCTTCTCTCAGTCTCTTTGCTTTGACAATTCTATAAAACTTTCTTGGTGACTCATTGCATAATTTTGCCACTTGTTCTCCCTAGTCTGCCCAAGATTCTGATTTTGCCGTTTTTACTTTAATTTTGCAGTCTCCAATCGATTTTTTTTTTTATAGCTTATGTAGTCTTCATCTAGTTCATTCTCGGCCAGGCTTTACAAATGGCCCTGTGCTGTGAGTCAGACGAAGTTCACGGGGCTTCTCATCAAAACCAAATATTAGTCGCTTAGTGAAACAAAGCCTGACATAAGAAACAATACACAGTTTTAGAATGGAAGTGGAGCAGTCATTTCAACAATCTGCTGGCCTGAGAATCAGCTGTACACTAATGTCGTTAGTTAAACCGATTCACCGAGCACGTTGAGAAAGGTTGAGACCGGTATGATCCATGAAGAGTGGCAAGTATCGCTTCAGTGCATGCGGGATCATTAGAAAATGACAGATAAATTGCCTGAATTTTCAATTTTAGGTGGTGAACTGTTGAATGACATGCTAGACGTTGTAAGGCCCTTAGAAAAGGGGAGACAAAACAGTGCGCAGACACAGCGTGATAATCAAGGTCTGAGAGGAATGGTCTTGCTAGGAGTGACCAGAAGATCAACCAACGATCAACTTTTAAGGGAAAGGTGGGGTGACGGGATTGGTAACGCGAGCCACCTTTTCCAGGGAGCGTACTGCTTCTCTGCTTGTAAAATATATTATACACTAATGCGTATGCTCTAATTGTGTTGGTTTATGTCATAGAGCTGCCAATGAGCTTTTCGCCATGACGGCAGTAGGTAGGTTCTTGACAATACATAAATTATACTCTTACTTGTAGCTTAGGAATAGGAACTCTGCATTTATGGGTACACTCGAAAGCTGTAATTTCGATTCCTAATTAACCATTAAACATTTAGTATTTAATTTGCGCATTCCTCCTTCTTCGCTAGCTTTTTCATGTAAGTTTCGTTTCTTAATGGCTCATCTTTTTCGTATTGTCTTCTATTGCGTAATTCCGGCTTTGTGTTGACCTTGTCCATTGTTTCATTAGAATGTTATTTTGTGGAAACATTTGGCTGTAATTGTGTGCGTCTTTTCTCTTACACTGAGCTTTCTAGCCATGTTTTGTTTTTGTTAATGTGTCTTATGTAGCTATAGCTGTTCCTCAAATGTGTTCACAGTTCTCTCATGATAAGTGTCTCTGTTGTCGTATGGTAAGCAACGAAAAAGCTGCCGGAAATGGCCTCTGAACCTTTCTGTGGAAATAAAGTAAATAAAAAAGTTAACAGCGTGTGTTAAGGTAACAAGACCTCCTGCAATAGTGTAAAACAGTCTAAAATAAACTCGACCGAAGATTGATTGTTTGGTGATTCCAGTGCTGTCCACCGCCAGAACCACGCATATTGGAACAGTCATGATTACAAATGTAACTGCCGCAAACAAAAGCATCATAGTAATACCACGTTCTGTTTTAGCTTGTTCTTGTAATCTTTGCTGGGTGAGAGCCGCAGAGTTGGTTCCTTCTTCTCCGCAGAATATGTACTCCCTGACTTTCTGAATCTTCTTCAGCTCCCTCCAAATCAGCAACACCATGATGATTAGCAGAACTGCAGGGAGATAGCTGTACAGAACCGTCGTCACATGGACCCATTTATTGTAGAAATCCTCGTCATTTCCCACACATCCACCATCAGCTATGACGATCCATAAATACACTGAACAAAACAAGAAAATAATCACAGCAGCAATGATAGCAACTAGACGAGCTCGATTCATAGTAAAGTAAAAATTCTTCTTCAGCGGAAACAGAACAGTGATATATCGTTCGAAACAAATCAACACAAGTACCCAGTTTGCATAGGTGCTTGTAAAAGTTGTCAACATTATTATCAACTTACAGCTGATAGACTCGAAAAAGATAAAAGTCAACATTGCAACATTTATCGCCTTTGTCACCAGAGCCATCAAGTCAAATATCGTCAGCAGTGTTAGGTAAAAAGTCCCTGTAGTTCTTGGAAATCTCAGAATGGTCAGTAGTGCCAGAATATTTGCGGGAATTCCGATAACTAAAGGCAGCCAAAAGAACACACGTCTGATTATAGTTGTGGTGTCACACACGGAGGATAGTGTTTTCAGCTCCCCCCACGACTGCAGCTCCAGGCCTAAATTTGCGAAGTCTAAATTTTCAAGTATATAACAGTTGCCGCCTTGGATCATCTCTTGCACTGATGCGTTCTCCCAATACGGCAAGACTATGGAGCTATTCATGAGAGATTTGTCGTTAAAATTTGTTTCGTTGAAATTGTTGGCTTCCATTGTAAATGTATTTCTATGTTTTGGGTACTTTTATTGACTCAGATTGTAAGTGGAATTATGATTGTGAATTGTGAAAAAGACATGCAATCAGACAGTTACTGGTACCATTAGCAGTAGAACTTTGCGCTGGCTTCTGAAGATGTCGAAAAAGGGCTTATGCTCGGATGTCAGTTTTTTTGCTCAGATGGTTTTCGCTAACTTACATTGTCTCTGGCTAGAAGTGAAACTGTAAGTGTCAATATCATTCATCAACATGGTGACATCCGTTTACGGTAAACACAGACATAAAGCTGTTTCTCAACTTCTGATGTCCATCAACATGAAGAACGGATAGTCTCCATCTGTTACTCCTGTAATCTGTGGAGAAACATAACACATTTTGTAGTATCTTTCTTTAACTTCAGCTACTGTTTCATATAGTAATTTCCTATATTGTTCTAAAATATTTGCATATTTTACATTTTGAAAAAAATATTCACATGTTTCAAGGGAATTTATGGATAAAGGGGAATGAGCAGAAATCATAGACCCCTCTATATGGGTCCCAGGAAGCCCATTGGGGTTGGTGGAAAAAGAAGCGGGGGGGGGGGCAGAAATAGACCCATTGCCTCCACAAAAAAAGATGTCTTAGGAGTTGACCAACTAGGGGCATCTTTCTGAAGTCAGAGTACATCTGCCTGAAAGGTAAGGAAAGAAGAGTCTGCATACAAATAAGCCAGATCTGTGAAACAGATATACTAGCAACACTCAGGAGCTGGATTAGAGACTAAATCTGGAAGTGAAAACTCCTCGCCTCTCAGGCAGATGCACTATGACTTGGAAGGAAGCCCTCAGTTAGTCGACACTTACAGCGTGCTTGCTTGGGAGGCAGCGGGTCTCTTCTAGTTTTCACCCCAATGGGATCCCGCAACCCACACAGGGAAAAAAATTAATGCTATTTTTTAAGCATAGACGCCGAAATCTGGTTGCTCAAGTACTTTGAGTACTCTCCCCCCCCCCCCCCCCTTCCCCCCCCCCCCCCAGTTATATTTTCACAAATATTTAATCCAAAGAGTATATTGACCTATGTAATATTTGCATACTGAATAATAATAACAAATATTATATCATTTGCACATTTAAACAAGGCTTGAGCTCCAACTTCTGCCCTTGTTGGCGGAGTTTAGCCTCTCCAAATTATTCTCAGTGGCGGCGTGCCAAAGACATTACCTGTTATTCGTTTTCGGTTCAGTCGACCACTGAGCCAAGCAAATTATCAGCTTCGATCCGAATTTGATCCTAAGCCTCTAAGACTGTCAGGACCGTATTGCCACTACGGCTCTACTCGACTGCCAACGGCACCCGTGAATTACTGATAGGAATGATTTAGCTAGGGAAAAAAACACTTAAACCTAAAATGGATGATGTCATTAAGATTTGCGACCTAAAACTGACATTCTAACTACATCGAAAATAGGCTACAAAATTAATTAATGACAAACAAGTCTTTATTCGGCTATTAATTTTAACGCTTATTTCTGTAGAACACCACATGAACAAATATAAAAACTGCAACTAAGGGGATTCAAGCCATTAAACGTAGCCCACATTAACCAAACAACAACTATAACCAAACTCTTTTAATGAGCTGTATAAAACTAGTCAGGGAGGGGGGGGGGGGGAATTCTTTAAGAATGAACGAATAGTTCTTTAATGTACTTGGTTGGCTGAGTGGGCCTATACTCCATTGGGAGACTAGCAGTAGTAACGGCCTCAAAGGTTCCCCCTCTGTTTATTTATAGCAGTAGTAAGACGAGAGAGTTTCGTCTTACTACTGCTATAAATAAACGAGAGACGAGAGAGTTTGCGACTGAGCCTCGAGAGGCAGGGGGTAAGAAGTGTTGGTGTTGTGGGTAGTGGGTTCCCCCCTTACTTCACCCTAGGTCTAGTGAATATCTGTTCACGAAAGGAGCGTCCATTGTGGTGTCAGCCTCTTGACCTAGCAAAACCTCTCTTACCTCAAGACCATTGTGCGTGGCGAAGAGTCACAGCCTCCCCGAGGTAGTCCTGATAACTGGGGGTGCGAATCCTCAGGCAAAACACAATGGATCTAGAGGACCAAACCATGATAATAAACCCGGTGCACCACACCGTACTGCCCCCTGTGGGAGGGAAGGAGCCAGAGGTGTGCTGAACAGTCTTAGGAATGGAAACAAGTATGCTAACCCCCCTGAATACCGGAAACTATCGTGAAAGCACAGGGACTCAGGACGTGACGATCCAGTTGCCCCAACTACTCATGTTTAGGCCATGCTTAGAGCCATGAAGAGCTCAGCGAAACCTGCAGGCAATCTGGTGGCGGGGAATGAGCACACTGTGAGCCCCACCTTAGCTACGTGTTAAAGGGAAAGGCAGAAACACAACCCATATTTCCTTTAGAACTGGTACAGGGCATTTCTAGCTGCTGCCCGGGGAGGTAGGTAATCCACAGACACCCCAGCACCACAATGCCATGAATATGTCAAAATTTAAGAATACATACGAGATCGGTCGTCGTCTCGTCTATCAAGGGCCGCGCCAGACAGTGGAAAACCAGGCTGTCATGTGCGAAAAATTGGCTACTGGAAAATTTGGAAAATTTGAAAAAAATAGGAAAATCAGACACCCCAGGAGGAGGAAGAGTGGGAGGGAGAGCAAAGAGAACTCAGACAGCACAGCAAAAAATACACAAATGCTCAATATTCTGCAGCTGAACATCTGTGGAATAAGAAATAAGAAACTTGAACTTGCCAAACTGCTAAACAACCACAGAGTACACGTGGCTGCCCTACACGAAACCCTGCATAAAGACTCTGATCTGCATCTCACTGGATATACTAGTTATGCCTGTAAGTGCAATGACTGCCGGGGCATAGTGACCTATATCAGAAATGACATACAAGGAGATGTAACAATGCTGTCGACATCTCATCCTACAGATGTGCAAAAAATAACTATCTGGCAAAATGGAAGTAAATATACAATATACAACGTGTACAGCCCACCTCAGACAACATGCAACATACCAGAACTATACAAGACACAGTACCATAAAACCCTTCTTGTTGGTGACTTCAACGGACACTCGCCACGTTGGGGTTACCCTGACTACAATAGCACAGGGAAATACATAGAAGATACTTGTTAAACAACTAACCTATTAGTGCTGCATGACACAGAGTCTACACCTACACTGTTACACAGGGCCCACCTATCTCTCAGCAGACCAGACCTGACCATCTGCTCATCCGACTTAGCAGACGCAAGCTATCCCCAAGTCCTGGACGACATAGGAAGTGACCACAAACCTATACTCACAACTGTAAGCACCACCGCTAAATTACGCTTCAAGCAGAGAACCCGTTGAAATTTCCGAAAAGCAAACTGGAAACTATTTCAGGAAACATCTGACTGCCTTCTGGGAAGAATTGACAACAGCTGTGTGGAAACTTTTTGTGAAGACATAACACAAGCAATCCTGAATGCAGCGTCGAAAGCCATCCCAAGGGGCAGCCGGAAGGCATATAAACCTTTTTGGAATCAATAAATTCAAAATACTATATCTGAAAGGAATAAAGCAAGAATATTGCTCGAAACTGCACGTTCAACAGAAGCAAAGATCCAATACAATAAAGCATGTGCCAGAGTAAAGCTTGTAGTTAATAAGGCTAAAAGAGATAAATGGACAGAAACTTGCTCCAACTTAGACCTTAGGGAGTATGGAAATAAAGAATGGACTTTAGTTAAAAACCTCTCCGGAGAAAGTAGAAGGGTGAACCCAAAACCAGTGACAGATGGGATTAAGACATTCACTGAAGACAAGAAGAAAGCAGAACATTTCAATCATTATTTTGCCTCAGTTAACAGAGCAGGTAAGCTGTCAGAACTCAATAGAACACAGCTCTCTCAGTTGAAGAAACAAGAGAGAGCTCCAACAGCCAGCGACTCCCTTTTTGAAAATGAATTTAGCATGGATGAATTAGAGCAAGCCCTGAAGAAATTAGAACCTATAAAATCTCCAGGCCTAGATAAGATCCACAACGAAATGCTGCTACATTTTGGCCGGTTTGAGAGAGAAGTAGTTCTCAGGCTTATTAATAAAACTTGGAGGTCAAGCAAACTTCCAAAGGCATGGAGGAATGCATATATCGTCCCCATTCTTAAAACCAAAAAGCCTCCAGATGACCCCAAAAGCTACCGCCCGATATCCTTAACATCATGCTTGGGCAAAGTTGCAGAAAGAATGATAAACAGGCGCTTATATTGGTTCCTTGAGAGTTCTGGTGTTCTATGCCATGAACAGGCAGGCTTCAGAACCAACAGCTGCACAGAAGATCAGCTGTTCAGACTGACACAAAGAATACATGATGGCTTCCAGAATAAGAAACACACAGTGGCAGTCTTTGTCGACCTCCAGCAGGCCTATGACAGAGTATGGAGAAAAGGTCTCCTGATGAAGATGATGAGCATAGGAATACATGGCAGATTGTGTAACTGTGTGAAATACTTCCTGATAGATAGAACAATCTAGACTAAGATGCACAACGCAATCTCTTCTAAAGAAGTCTTGGAGGAGGGCTTGCCACAAGGCTCATCATTGAGCTGTACACTATTCCTAATCTTTATCAATGACCTGCCAGAACAAATCAAGGCCGAAAAAGCCTTGTACGCTGATGACCTAGCAATATGGCAGAGTCATGAAAATATGGAAAGTGGAGCCCAAAGACTGAATGGAGACCTTAGAAGACTGCATGAGTACTGCCAAAGATGGAAACTCAAGGTTAACTGTGCAAAGACGGTCTACACAATCTTTACCAAAAGCCCCCAAGTAGCAAGGAAGAATATTAACCTGAGGTTAGACAAACAAAAAGTGATGAAAGAAGAGCATCCCACATACCTTGGAGTCACACTTGACCCGCAGCTCAGCCTCAAGA